AAATCAGTTAAGTCTGATACTACATCCATCCAGGTTTACCTTAAACCAGTTTCAGCCATTTCAAAAGTGGTTTGTATGCACTGAACTTCTATTGTGTTACAGATTTGAACCAGTTTCCAATCACTTAAATTGGTTTATGTGTAATTTCCATCCCTAGCCCATCAGACTTGGCTTGGAAGAGTTCTCTCTTGGCTTAGAAGAGTCTGTCTTTGGCTGGATCTTTTTTCTCTGCTTTCTTCTTTTCTAATGGGTCCCAGCATCAATCATTTCCCTCAGTGCTTACACCTTGATAACTTCCACTCAGGTTCTTTATGCTGATGACTTTAAAATTGACCTGCTGACTGTGCTATCATATGGCATTTATTAAGCACCAAATAATAAATGCAGATTTTTGAGTAACCACGCAGTTTAATTAGCCTGGATACTGGTGGCTGAGTTTCACCATAGTGACATACAGAAGACTAAAATGTTGGCAGACAGAAGTGTTCCATGAACTTATTGTTCAGTTAAGTTGCTTATACTTGTACATGACAGCAGGCTTTGTTCCATCCCAACCACAGTGCTGTTACAAGCATTTGGTATATTTTAACCTCTGAAGTTCCTGCTGTTATGACTATTGTGTATTTTTTTCATTGTGAAAGATAATTTTCAAATATTGAATTAATAATTGATGTCATACTGGCACAAAGGTGTGTTAACTTTATTACTTCCTTAAGCCAAGCTTCCAGTAGTTAATGAAAGATCTGGCTGAGGAAGAACCAGACCAAGAAAAAGAGTTTATTTTTGTCCTTACTATCTCCCCCACCCCGCTTTTTATACTCTTGTCCACCCCTTCCCCCCACCCCCTCCAGCTTACCGTTATAGAAATATAAATTGGTCAAGAAGCTGATATTTTTAATTATGTTATTTTATAATACAGGATCCTGCATGGAAGGACAAGCTGTCAACTTCCATTTGCCACTGTAATAGGCACTTATATAATAAAGTAATTAAGAGGCTAGTTAGGAAGAAGGTGAACAGGGGTCATGCTTGCTTGGTGCCAGTGCATTAATTATCATAATTTATAAAGTACCCTACATTTTCAAAGCACTATCTCACCATTAACTTAATGCATTTCCATGGAACCTAATGAAAGAGTGGAACTATTATTATCCCAATTTACAGATGGGTTGGGGGGAAGGTGGATGAGACTGTCTCTGCAGGTGATGTAAATGACTTGCCCAAAATGTGGGAAGGATAAAATCCTGGCGTATCTCCTCTATATACCACATGTATAGAGTAACTGTTGGAGCATGTTCCAGCCAAGTGTCTAAGAGTATATAAATATCTTGTTACATGGGTGAGATGTTAACCTTATTTAGAGATGTAGTTGGTATCTCTCACCTCCTCCACTAACTTGCCGTCACTCATGTAAAGGTTGAAGACAGATCAGGGCAAGTGCGTAAATTAGACTGAAGTATCAGCTCAAAGTCACTAGTGATTATGGAAGTATGGAACATTGATGGACCACAGTACTCAATGCAAACCAGTCATGTACCAGAATACTGGTTCCTTCTCCTTCCCCTTTGTTGAAAAGGTACTGGTTTAGCTGTTGGTTGCCTCCCACTATAGGAGGCAACAGCTAAGGGCTAAAAAAGGTGACAGTGGCTTCAAGAGCTGTTGCTGTCGCTGGATACTACATGGCCAGGACAGAATGAAGTAAGTATCCTCCAAAAAACGTTTTAGTTTTGGAGGTAGTAAGAGGAAGTGAAGGAGGAGGTAGATACCTGAAGAAAATAGAGATGGCAGGGGAGCCACGAGGGGCAAAAATGTGTAGCAGATGGAAAAAGGAATAACGCAGACAAGAGGACATGTCTAAAGACAATAGAAAGACTATAGGAATAACCACAACAAGAAGCAAGACAAATTGGTAACTCTTCAAGAACAAGTCTTTAGAAAGAGGACCACATGGCTATTGGCCCATATAGAATGATTTGCAGAATTGGGACCTAGTTCCGTAATATCTACAGCACTTGGAAGAAATTTCAATTTGCTGCAGGACAAACTCAACCTTTTCAAGTTCCCAGGGTTGATAGATTGAGTTCTTATCCACGACAAACTTTATGGGCTTTGTTATGAGACCTTAAAAACATATCAAGGTTTAGTCCTTTTTCATATAGGCAGGAATAAGCTGGGGACATATTAAACAAATTATTTTTGCTGTGAATCAATGGTCAAAATTACAGCCCCCACACTTTGGAAGCATCCATGGCTAGAGGTGGTTGTAATTCAGTAGCATTCTTTTATGGATGTCATTTAACACAGCATTTTGGATTCTTGTGGGATGAAAGTTAATAGATTTACTTCATGCCAATGAAGGTGAGCTGTGAACTGTGTATTTTAACAGATGGAATCATTCCTGGCCAGGTAGATTTTGTGGAGGGGAAACGGGAAGATGCCACAAATCATGTTTTTTTCCTTGACCCTGGTGAATGAAGAAATGACGCATAGTACCCTCAAACAGGAATCATTATACTTAGAAATTCTGAGGTATAAATGGAGGCCTACCTAGATGTTGTTTGCTCCTTTTTACACTTTTTGCATCCTGCTGTTGGAAAACAACATCACAAGATGGGGAAGGGGTGAACCCTCTTTCAGAGCAAGCAGAAGTTTCTTTTAACTTATATTTTGGAGCTGCTGGAATGTACAGAATAAACAACTCCCTTCAAAAATCATTGGCAGTATTAATTGCTTTATTAAAAAAGCTAAGGTTATAAGACTGTTAGCAATCTCAGACATTAAATTTTAACGAGTTTGAAATACTGAATTGTACAAAAGTAACTCTAGTTTCACATTTCATGTATGCTACACCAGGCCACTATACTACCTGAGACACAGGATACATTTGTATTTAGGCAGGGAAGATAATGAATTCTTTCCAGCCACAGTTTTTCTTTACCTCTGCAATATTTTTTTTGTCCGGATTGTCAGCAGACTGCATGGTTTCCTCATTTAAGCCATTGTATACAAACCAGCCTTTATTAAAGCAGAACAGAATTTTAGATAATAGCTTTAAGGCCAGACAAACTACTGTTATTTTGTGAATTCAAAAATATATCTACAAATTCAAAAGCTGCTCATCTGCTAATTCATAACTTTTTTCTATAATGGTATACAGAATATAAAAATAAGACTTTACCTGCCCCAGAAGGTTTATCTATCTGTACAATTTGTGTAAGCATGAAAGGCATACTGTTGGGATGTATCTGAATGTTGCACAGGTGCAACCTGTAGTAGAGAAAGGTGAAAATGTAGTGAGATATGTATTTAAGAAAAACATTTCTCAAATATCAACACTGTGATTGTCTATTAATACTTTAGGCAGGCCAATACAGAATTTTCTGAGATGGGAATGGGGAGTGGCCATAAGCATAAATCAAAGCTCTGAATATTTTTGGAGAAGTTACAAATACATATTAAGTATGAACCTGAGGAAGTTGAAGGACCTTCTTTCCATTCCTTCTGGCATATACAAATTTCCCAACCTCCTTTGAGACTTGCTCTACATAGTATAGCAATAGTCTTTAAGCCCACTAAAATACTTAAGTCGCACTTTCCAAAATCAAACTTGACAAATGTGATTGCATATCAACGCTGTGTGTGTTTTCATGTGTGAGGAATTTACATGAGACAATTTGCAGAGTCAGGAACTGGCATTTGTGAGTAATTTTGTGTACATTAAAGTTCATAATTATTCATTTTGACTACTTAAGGGGGTGCATCTACACAAGACAATATGCAGAAGACTAATTCTATTGCGCATTAACATAGGGGCAAAGCCCATGCTAATGCACAGTAGATTTAGTCTAATGTGCAAGTAGCATCACAAAAAATATATTTATCTGTGCTAATGTGCAGTAGCATGGATGGCATTGCATTAAGTTAGTACCTGCCATTACAGGTGCTAAACTTAATGCACCATAATTACAGTGCATTAATGAATGTGCAGATGCACCCCTTGTGTGCAAAAGTCTTGTAAGTCATGGTGAGAGCAGGACCTTTCTTAGGCAACCCATGAGACATCACTCCATTTAAATGTTTCAGAGGCAAGCTGGGCACTTGATAAAGTTTGCTTGTTTGTTGTTACCAGCTGTCTAGTGACCACTTGAATGAGGAAAATTAAAAAATAAAAATCCATAGAACAATATAAAAACATTGTTTTCCATTTTTTAAATGGATATAAAACAGTCACAGACAGTTCTAACCCGGCATAATTTTGAAACCAATAAAGAATCCCTTGGTGCTTATAACACATTTGGATGACTTTCCACTTTCCAGAATAAGAAGCCAGTGTTGTGCGTGGAACAGAAACCACTGAGGCACACAACAAAAGATCAGAGCTGGAAGTAGACACTTTTACCACCCATGCATGCATTCCTCCCTTAGGAGAGAGGGAAACTTGAAAGTTCAAATACCAAAATTAATCCCAAAGGAGGGAGCCTTCTTCCAAGGAAAGGCAGCTCTTCCTGAACAAGCTCTTCTCAGGGCCTGAGAAACTCTTCCCCCGTGGAGGCAGTGCGAAGCTGCAGGGCTGTAGGACCCCGCGGTGCAGTGGGAAGAGGCAGGAGGACAATAATTTGTTCCATTGTAATGAGAACTGTAAATGTTGGCAATGGGCAGATTTCACAGGCCTGCCTTCCCTCGCTAACGGTCTTTAATGCCTCTCGCAGGCCAACACAGACAGTCTGCTCATTTATTGCAACGGTCAACATTTTTTTCTTGCCAGAAACCCCCACCCCCCCCCCCCCCAAAAAAAACCCAACCCAAAACAAAACCCCCAAACCAAACAACTTTTTATGAAAGCAAAGCTCAGCTCATCAGCAGCCCATGCAGGAGGGGTTTTGGAGTTAACTGCATGCAGGAAATCTCTCACATCCTGAGTCCCAGCTCTCTCCTCTCTGTAACTGTATATTATGGTGCTGTTCTCCAGCCCCAGCTGATGAAAGTTTTGTCTCTTGCAGTCGGGGCTAAGATGTCAAAGCGTCTCCATGCAGCACAGCAGCGCTGCCCTCCTCCTCCTCTTCCTCACCCCCCAGCCCAGATATTCATGCTGCTCCTGAGCCTGAGCTGGCTCTTTTTAGCATCACCCAGGGCTCAAGGTAAGTTGACGGTGCGGTTTTTGTTTTTGTGGGGTTTTGTTGGGTTTTTCTTACACCCCTCCTGCCCCCTTCCCTCCCCCCCCCAGTTGTAGGGCACAAATCCAAGTGGCCGTGGCAGCGGGTGGCCTAGTGTGGAGCCCTCCACCCGCTCCCACGCAGTTAGGAGCAGCCCCCGGGGGC